TACACATACATACATATATACTGTGTGTGGACATATGCATACAGTACAAACACGCTGTGAGCTACCAGAATTCACATACTGCGGGGTGAGATACACACACAAGAAAACAACCGAGGAAGATTTGTGAGTACAAAAAACCCAACTCAAAGTGTACCTCTAGACTTTGTCTTCCACAATAACCAACAAAATGAGGGATTAAAAAAGGAAGAAACCATAATGGAAAAAAGTTTACTTACATCTACATAAGAAAAGAAACATTAAGTTGATGCAATTTGGAGCAGAGCATCAAGTAAAGAAGCAAAAACACTGCAGAGCACAACACACAGGCCTAAAGGCTCACCCCTAAACTGACTCCCATACCCAGAAGCTTACAGCTGAGCTGACAAATACTTAATGCACATGTAACATGTGAATCTGCAGAAAGAAAACCATATCCTGATATTTTTCTGAATGAAGAATGGAAACCACAGCAAAGGAGAAACAGATAAATCAGAGGAAAGGGACCAACAGGGTCATACTGACCCCATTCCATCTTTCACTGACTCTTGCCCTCTGTGTGCAGTGAAAGCTCTAGAATGTGGAAGGAACTGGGAGAAACAATGTAAAGATTGAAGATCTTTTTTTTCCTCAGGAATGGGTATGACCTTACCCAAGTGACAAAATAAACACTAGTGCAAACCACATACAAATGGCCAGAACAGAACAGAGTCTAGTTATCCTAACAAGGTACACCAAGATACCCATGCTATCACCCCAACCCAGTTTCATTTCTCTTAGGACCCAGAGAAAGTAGAGAGCGCACACACTTATACACCAGCTGCAGTTTGAAAAGGAAAACAAACTGATTTTAGACACAACGGGGAAACAATAAGTAACAAACAGAATGCCTGAAAAAAGCTGACCAAACAAGGCCTTACAGGTTATGAAAAATCTGGCTTTCACTCTGTGGGATCTGGGAAGCCACAGAGGGCTGGCTTTAAGCTTAGAAGTGACATAATGCTACCTAGATTTTTAAAGTAAAATTGGAAGGTGTGTTGAGAACAGTGAAGCAGGGAAATCAGCTAGCAGGACACGTCAATAGCTCAATCAAGGGACTGACAGAGTTGAGCAGGGCACTGGTGGTAGAGTTGCTAACTAGACTTGGGACACAGCTGACATTAATTGACTCTTGGAATTAATTCAACCTTGCATTCCAGAAATCAACCTTGTGTGGTTGGTTTGTCACCATATATATATATAATCATTTTTTAAGGGTTTGTGTTTCTGTTTATAAAAGATACTGATGTGCTTTCTTTCCATGATGTTTTTGACCTTAGTGTTTGGGCAGTGAGCCTCAAAACGAGCAAGGAAGTGCTGCTACTTCTTCTTCCTCTCTGTGAAAAAGGCTGAGTAGGACAGGTCACATGTCTACACTGGACACTTGACAAAACGCATCAGTGAAACCATTTGAGCCTGAATTCCTCTTTGTAGGAAGAGTTTTGGACAGTAATTCAATTTCTTTTCTTGATATAGAACCACTCAACTGTTCTATTTCTTAAATTACACACAGAAGGCTAAGTAGCACAAATTTTTCCTTATATGAGAAACTCAGAATATAAATAATTTAAAAAGCAAAATAAAGGAGAGATGGTAGGAAACAATGTATCTGTAGACTTTTTGGAGATGGTATGAGGTTCTGGGGAAGGGGGAAAGGTGAGTAAACTAATCAAGATGCAACATGCACATGTACCAATTCCCACAAACAAATGTAATTATTATGCTCTATAAATATATGATTAAAAAGTTTTTCCATTTCTTACATTTGTACTGTTTCTTCGTTATAAGAAATCTCTCCATTTAATCAGAATTATCAAATTTGACGGCATAATGTTGACAACACTGTACTCTATCACTTTTTAAAAAAAGATTTCAGTATGTAACCAAGACTAGCCTCAAACTCTCAATCCTCCTGCCTCAGCCTCTGAAGTGCTGAAATCACAGGCATGTCCCATGAGCCCAGCCTTCTTTACTACCCTTTTAAGATCTAGGAGGCATGTGGTAATGTCTCCTCTTTCATCCTTTGTATTGTCATCTTCTTTCCATCAATCTGTCTAAACATTTATTTTTTATTCATATTTTTCAAAAATATTTTAGTAATAGTTTTCCTATTTTTCTCCATTTCCAAATTCACTAATTTGAACTTGATTTTTATTTCCTTCCATTTACATTGAATTTGCTTCTTTTTTGTTGGCTTCTTTAGGCAGAAATTTGCATCACTGATTTTTTTTCTATAATGTAATGCCTTAAATTCTCTTCTAAGCACTGCCCTGGAAGTATCTTACAAATTTTGCTATGTACTGCTTCATTTGTATCTATTTCAAAACACTCTCTGATTTCCCTTGCAACTCTTCATTGGTAAAAAAATTATCTATAAGTTGCTTAATTTCTGAGCATTTGGGAATTTCTCTGACTCAATTCTGGTAGTGATCAATCTCTAATTCTCTTGTATCAGACAACATGGTCTACAATTTTAATACTTCCAAATATTTGACCATACTGTTTACCCTGTAAAGTCTTCCATGTTTACTTGAATGTAATTCCAACTGTCAATTAGATGAGGGTGATGACGCTGTTTTAAACGTTTCTAGGGGCTGGGGATTGAGCTCAGTGGTTCTGTAGCCTGCCTTGCAAGCACAAGGACCCAAGTTCGATCCCTGGTACCAAAAATAAAATAAAATAAAATGAACATTTCTAAATGCTCACTGATTTTCTATTCTCTCAATTATTACAAGAGTAATATTGATATCTAATCATACATTTTTCTATTTCTCCTTTTTATTCTGAATGTCTGAAATATACTGTAGATCTAGCTATGTTAGATGCATACATATTTATAATTATCCTACTGCAATATTAATAATTATGAAAAGTCCTTTTTCTATAGTAATATTTTAGAACTAGTATTGTAGGACATTAATATAATCACACTATATCTTTTGTGTGTCTTATAGATACCATTTACTTTACAATTTTATTTTTATATTCAGTCTGGCAATTTCTGTTTTCTGACTGGAGTGTTCAGTTGTTTCATATATAACATTATATACTGAAATGACTGGTTTTAGGTCTGTCAATTCTTCTCCATCCTTTAACATCTTCTTTTGTGTTCAGCAAGTATTTTGTTTTTTACTTTACCATTTTAGTTCCTCTAAACTTTACATTATTTAGTGCCACGACCACTCCAGTAGAGTCTGCGTGACAATGCCGGTCACCTGGCAGAAACCAGACCCGAGGTATCGTCCCCATGGGGTTAAGCCTCCTGGAAGTCCTTGGCACACACCGCATGCGAAGTCAGCCGTGAAGAGAATAGCTGGCCTCTCTGCCTGCAGTTTGGGGACATTGGGTTCATTTATAATTCTGTTCTATTTTGTCTTTATTACTATTTGTTCATTATCTGTAGAATTGTATTCTGGGCCCAGGAAAGATCAAGAACAATTAGATGTTCCTAGAGATGGGGAGGTGTTGGGGCACAAGAGGACGGGCGGCCAAAGTGCTGACCCTGAGCCCCCGGACTGTGAAGTCCTGAAGGTGATCCTGAAGGTGACATGCTGAAGCCAGTCAATTGTTTTACAAACTTCCCCTTCTGACTGCGTATAGGTGTGGTCTTACCTTGACTTAGTGGTCTTAGCTTTTGTGATTGTATATAGGTGTGGTCTTACTTTGACCTTGTGGTCTTAGCTTTTACAGTACTATTGTCTATCTTTCTCATGCCTGCTTGTGACTGAAATCACTCTTGAGGTGTGCCCTTGAAACTAATATATATACACCTAGAGTTAGAAATAAAATTGCAGCAGCTACTACCTTCACTACTCAGTGCTGTGTGGTTTCTGACTGTCACCGCCAAACCTGCTCCCACCTTTCTGAAGATCCCTGTTCTCCTCGTGAAATCCAGTCTTTGCTCCCCTACGGTCGGTAGCAATTTAGTGGTTGCTATTTAACTTACCTCAAACTTTTTCTTTTTCCTGCACAGGGGATGGACTCCCAATGAGCTACATTTCCAGTAATATTAATTGACTGATTCACTGAGGCAGGGTCTTGCTAAGTCACTAAATTGCCTAGGCTGAGGTTGAACTTGCAATCCTGCCTCAGCCTCCCAGAGCACTGGGATTACAAGAATGCACTACCATGCCCACCTTATCACATTTCTAATTTACCACGTTTTACTTCAAGCTATTTTTTTCCCTTGCAACTCTGAATTTTTATTTTTTTAAAGTAATACAGGTTCTTCAAATCAGAAACACCACCGCCAGGACCACCATTCTTTATTATTTTAAGAATCATTAATGGCCAACTTCAGACTGCTAACTCTCACA